GCCACCAAACACACATTAAAACTAAAGTAACAAACCTGTTTTGAAAATGTAGAAAGTACAGGTATTTGTGTTAAAAATGTAAGAAGTAAAAGTAAAAAGTTGTCAGAAAAATAAGTAGTGGAGTAAAGTGCTGATACCAGACAAATGTACTTAAGTACAGTAACAAATTATTTGTACTGTACTACTTCCCACCTCTGATATTGATACAATGGTAAAATGAAATGACATAACTTGAAATATACTGCATTCCTTCTACCACTCAGGTTGGAGACACTTCCTTTGACTTGCCTGAAGCCAATGTTCTGATCCAGATCTCCTCCCATGGTGGATCCCGCAGACAGGAGGCTCAGAGGCTGGGCAGAGTCTTACGAGCTAAGAAAGGTCAGTCTGTCTGCATCACTTGGATTGGTTGTCTTTGCATGACACATCCTGATGTAACTTATAGTCTTCCTCCATTCATCACCTAAATATTCTCTCTCCCCCCTGTCTGCTGGTGTAGGAATGATAGCAGAGGAGTACAATGCATACTTCTACTCACTAGTGTCCCAGGACACCCAGGAGATGGCTTACTCCACCAAGAGGCAGAGGTTCCTGGTGGACCAAGGTTACAGCTTTAAGGTGTGTTTACATGTTTGTGTTTCCCCTTTTGAACAACACATTTTAACCTGTAAAACACACGATTGTACATTTCTCTAATGGGCCAAGTTTGCTCTCTCAGTGGAACAAGGTTAACAAAAATGTGTTGGGTATCTTGTAGTTAATATAGGAGTTTTATTTAGAGGGTTAAAACAAAGAATGAACCAGAAAATAAACTAGTTCGAGAAAAAGCCTCCGCTCACAGAGATAGTTAACATAGATTCAAGGCTTTATTGTCATGTGCACATTAGCTACAGTGTAGATATGGCAATGAAAAACATAGGTCACAGGCTCCTCCAACATGAATATATATACATAAAACAGATAATAGTGCAAGAGAATATTTTGAGATGTGCAAGTTAATACAAATAAAATAGAAATAGTGCAAGAGGGGTCTATATACAAGTAAATGGAAAAATAGCTTCAATGCATTTGGGACAACTTATTCAGGACAAATGGAAAGAAGTTTATTAATAAGACATACATATTTTTATCCTTGGTATTATTTATTCTTTTACATCAGGGGTGTCCAAACTACGGCCCGGGGGCCAAATGCGGCCCGTGGCCCATTTTGAAACGTGTGCTTGTTATATATTGTAATTCTTAAATATATTTGTACAAATATATTACACAGTATTCATGCGTTAAAAGGCCCACTTTTCAAATAAATTCAGTCAATTAAAGTTGGAAACATTTTCAAACAAATCTTAGTTAATAATAATAATAATAATACATTGCATTTCAAAGCGCTTTTCCAGGTGCTCAAAGACGCTTTACAGTGGTGATAAAACATGATAAAATGGAATTTAAAAGTTATTAAAACAAGATAAAATAACACTTAAAAGTTATTAAAACAGCAATACAGCATAATTCACAGATTAAAAGCCAGTCTGAAGAGGTGTGTTTTGGTCAGTGTTTTGAAAGTGGGGGGGTCAGTGCAGTCTCTGATGTGTTGTGGGAGGGAGTTCCAGAGGGTGGGGGCAGCGATGGAGAAGGCTCTATCCCCCCAGGTTCGGAGCTTGGTTTTCTTGGGGATAGAGAGGAGGTTCGCTTCTGATGAGCGAAGGCTGCGGGAAGGGGTGTAGTGGTGGATCAGGTCGGAGAGGTAGGGGGGAGCCTGGTTATTGAGAGCTTTGTGTGTTAGCAGAAGGATTTTGAAGTGTATTCGTTGACGAACAGGGAGCCAGTGCAGGTTTTGAAGGACGGGGGTGATGTGGTCTCTGGAGCGGGTGTGGGTGAGGAGGCGGGCAGCGCAGTTCTGGATGTATTGTAGTTTATTTAGGATTTTGGATGATGAACCATACAGGATGCTGTGGCAGTAGTCCAGTCTTGAAGTGACAAATGCGTGGATGAGGGTTTCAGCAGCCGGGAAGGTGAGTGAGGGGCGGAGGCGGGCAATGTTTTTCAGATGGAAGAAGGCAGTCCTGGTGATGTGGTTTGTGTGTTTGTCAAATTTGAGCTGGCTGTCAAAGATTACTCCAAGGTTGCGAATGTGAGGAGAGGGGGTTAGAGTGGTGTTGTCAAGGGTGAGGTTGAAGTTCTGAGTGGTGTTGGTACCGGATGGGGGTCCGATTATGATGATATCAGATTTGTCGCTGTTCAGTTGAAGGTAGTTTGTTTGCATCCAGGATTTAATTTCTGAGAGACAGTTGGTGAGTGTGGAGTGAGTTGTGGCAGTGATGGTTTTTGTGGAGATGTAGAGTTGGATGTCATCAGCGTAGCAGTGATACTGGAGGTTGTGGCGACGGATGATTTTTCCAAGGGGGAGTATATAGAGGAGGGGACCAAGCACCGAACCCTGGGGGACGCCTTGGTTCAGAGGGGCAGTGGAGGAAGTGCAGTTATTGATGTGGATGAACTGGTGTCTGTTGGTGAGGTATGATTTCAACCAGGAGAGTGCAGTGTCAGTGATGTTGAGGGATGATTCCAGGCGGGACAGCAGGATGGTGTGGTCGATGGTGTCGAACGCTGCTGTGAGGTCGAGGAGGATGAGGATGTTGAGATTGCCGGAGTCTGAGGAGAGGAGGAGGTCGTTAGTGATTCTGAGGAGGGCTGTCTCTGTGCTATGTTTTGTCCGGAATCCTGATTGAAAGGGTTCAAACAGGTTATTGGAGCTGAGGTGGGATTTTAGTTGGGAGGCTACAACACGTTCGAGAAGCTTTGATAGGAACGGGAGATTGGAAATGGGCCGGAAGTTGGACATGATGTCAGGTGTGAGTCCGGGTTTTTTCAGTATGGGTGTAACAGCAGCCAGTTTGAGTGAGGGGGGGACTGATCCAGAGCAGAGGGAGGAGTTAATGATTGTGGTTATGAGTTGGGAGATGGGAGGGAGGCATTCCCTGACAAATGTAGTTGGTATGGGATCCAGAGTGCAGGTGGAGTTCATTCCGGCCATGAGGGTGGAAAGTTGCATTGGGGTCACAGGGGAGAACCGGGATAGGGGCTTTGAGGTGAAGGGGGGGGAGCCAGTGGGGGAGATGGGGAGGGCTGTTGAGGAGGTCAGGTTTCTGTAGATGCTGTCGATTTTGGATTGAAAGAATGAGAGGAAAGAATTGCACTGTGCGGTTGTGAAGGATGGGGTGGCGTTGTCGCAGGGTTTAAGGAGTGTGCTGATGGTGGAGAACAGAGCCTTGGGGTTGCTGGAGCCGGAGTGTATCAGTTGTGAGTAGTAGTTGGTCCGGGCTGCTTTGAGCGCATTATTGTACTGATGTAGGTGGTCGGTGTAGGCATGGAGATGAACTGTTAGAGTGGTTTTCTTATGGAGGCGTTCCAGTTGGCGTTTTTGTGATTTCATTTGGCGGAGTTCAGCGGTGTACCAGGGAGCTGAATGTGTGAAAGAGACAGTTTTAGTTTTTTGGGGAGCCAGTTCATCAAGACAGGAGGAGAGGGTGGTGTTGTAGTAGTCCACTAGTTGACATGGATTGTCAGGCGGGGGGGGAGGGAAGGCGGACATCTTGCGGGTGATGCAAGCTGAGAGTGCTGAGGGAGACAGGGATTTTAGGTTTCTGAAGGTTATTGTGCGCTTGTGTTTTTGGATGGGGATGGGGGATATTGATGTCCATGGTGATGGCCAGGTGGTCGGAGATATGAGGGTCGAGACTGGATAGGTGGTGGGGCGGTGAGACCTGTGGAGCAGACTAGGTCAAGGATTGTGTCCGTGGGCTGTGTGTGGGGAAGTTGATGTGCTGGTGTGAAGTTGAAGCACTGCAAGAGTTTCCAGAAATTCAATGGCATATATGCTGGGTTGGGGTCATCAATGTGGATATTGAAATCCCCTACGAGGAGCACAGATGGAGATATTGCAGATAGCTGGGTTAGAAGGTCAGAGAGGTCGGAGAGAAAGGTGGGATTTTGTTTTGGAGGGCGGTAAATGATGGCTGTGACGCAGGGGAGTGGGACCAGAGAGCTTAAATACCAGGTGCTCGATGAGGGAATATCCAGGGATGGAGATGTGGGTGGCTTTCACATCCTTCCTAAAAATAGGGCAGCAAGACCACCACCCACCCGTCCTTCTGGACGGGGGTTTGTCAAAATAGGTGAATCCTGATGGAGTGCTAGGTTTAAATGAGAAATAGTCCAGAGGTTTTTTGCCAGGTCTCAGTGAGAAAGAGAAAATCAGGTTATTGTCCGTTATGAATTCGTTTAGAATGTGGCTTTATTGTTCATGGAGGCGGGTTGTTGAGGAGGGCCGCTTTTAGAGAGGCGTTTCGCTGTGATTGTTGATAAAAAAAAAGGACGGCAATAAGGTTAATTACATAAATAGCTTCATATTCCTCTTTTTATGAGCAATCTGAGGCTTCTGTTTTAAGGAATGAGCTGCAAACTAAATAAATGAAACCCTATGGAGAACTGTGGTGTAAGCAGTTTGTTTCTTAAAGCATTTTCAAGTATATCAAGCATAATTTGCCTACATTTGATTGATTTAGCTAACTTATAACTTAACTGATACGGCAATAAACCTCACCTCTAGTGAGCGGCCGGACCTTCGTATATTTTTCTGTATGTGGCCCTCAGTGAAATAATTGTTTACATATAGCCCGTGGTGTGTTCTCATGTGTCTCTTCCTTCATAGGTGATCACAAAGCTAGCCGGTATGGAGGAGGAGGACCTGATGTTCTCCTCCAAAGAGGAGCAGGCAGCAACTTCTCCAGAAGGTCCTGGCTGCTTCAGACCTGGATGCTGAGGAGGAGTTGGTGGCAGGGGAGCTGGGCGGAACGACCAACAGGTGAACACTTGGATAACTCTGACCTCAGAAAGCAGATATATACGTAATTGTGCTTTGCAGGCTTACCATTGCATGGTAGAATATAACACTATTTATTTCTTCCTGCTTCTTTATCAGTTCTCAAGGGCGAACCGGCACCATGAGCTCCATGTCGGGTGCAGATGACACCGTCTACATGGAATATCAGGGTCGAGGCAGCAAATCCTTTTTAGGAAAGAACATTCATCCACTGTTCAAGCGGCTTCAGAAAGTAGATGCACTGACTTTAACCCTGATGCCCCAAAGACTGACTCAGTGTCATCAAAGCCATAGGATAAAGTTGGGTTGTAATCATGTTAACTGAGTCTCAGCACCAGGCTGTAAGCAGCAGGTTCAGATAATTGTTGCATAGTCCAGCCTTTTTGGAACAGAATAAGTACTGTGTATTACTTTTTTCTGGCAGATGGTGATGATGGTTGAAATGACTCATACGTCTGGTTAAAACACAGCAAATGCAGCCTGCATGGCTCTATTTTTCTATGTGATACATTTGAAAGTCTCAAATACCTACATGGGAAGACAATTGCAGGTGAAATGCATTGCTAACTATGTCCGCAAAGTGTCATTTATTTTTCATTTTTGTGTTGCGTTTACTGATTTGGGCCTTCAAGCTACATTTCACAGGCACTTAAGGCTTTGACTTGCTGTTTGAAGTAGATTTCATTCAGCTGAAAATGTCTGTGGGATAGGATTAGTGGGCTGGGGAATGACAGATGTGAAGTCAGCGCTATGTGAGATAACCTGTGTCTTATCCCACTGTTTTGTGTGTGCTTCAGACACTGAGGAGGAAAACTATGGATGTATATCGGACTTGTGTTTATACATTTTTTTTGTAAATATGGCTTTACCTTACTTGTAAAAGACATCAACAAATGTTTATTAAACTGTTCGCGGATGTTAGTGTTGGTTGAGATCTCCATATTAGGTTGAATAATTAAAACGAAAGTAGTTATAATCAATTATATTCTTGTATAACCCACAATGAAAATGCTTCATATTTTATGATTTTCTATATTTACAGTATAAACAAAACACAAGTGGTTTAGGACTATTATGGTTTTATGGGTGTCACTGATAAGAGGAGAGACAGTTTTTCTTCCCTCACAGCAGTACACATGGAGAGGAGCTCCTGACTTAAGGATAAATACACTGAGGCCCATAAAGGTGTTTTTGCCATAGCCGAGAATAATATTTGGCAAGTCCTGCACACTAGAGGTCATGACCTTTTTACACAAACATGGGAAGGTGTGTCTTATTGCCATAGCCATAGAATATGTCTGGTCATGTACAGTCCTGTACATCAGAGGCCATGCCCAGTTTCCACACATATGGGTATGGAGGAGGTTTTTTCTGTCCTGTTTTTGAGAGTAAAGACACTGAGAGAGTGAGAGAGAGAGGGGGGGGGGGGGGGGGTTCCCCTGGGTTTTCGCCTTTGTTTAAAAACTAGAATTCTAACTGATCATTCTGAGGGAGCTGCCTCTTAATGTGTCAGGCTATAGGTTGTGAATGTTAGCACCTTCGATCCGTGAGGAGATTCCTTTGGATTATGTCGGAATTCCAACTGATCATTTTGAGGAACTGACCTCTGAATGTGTCAGGCCATAGGGTGTGGATGTTAACCCCGGCGATTTGTGAGGAAATTCCTTTGGATTATGTCGGAAGACTTTATGTCTAAACTATGAATTAAGGTTTTAGATTAGAAAATGACCCCAGCATGATATGTTTAGTATAATTGTAATGTAACGAGAGAGGGTAAAAACCCTGTATACATGTGGACCATTTTTCTTCAAATAAACTGACCCCACTGTTGACAGTTCTGCTGTTTAAGTGGTCGTGTCATACCTGACCTTTACCTCACCTACCTCTATCAAGCTTACCATTGATTAAAAAAATATGCTAAATTGGCTGTGAATGGAAAGGACAGTGGCGAGCCGTCAGGGCCCTCTAGGACCTCTCTGAGGGCCTAAGATATTCTAAAAAATAATATTTGAAAACATTAAAAAGCAAAAAAACATTTTTAAAAAAATAAAAATATTTGTTTAGTTATATTTTTCATTAGTTTTACCATAATAACTTAATTTAATTGTATTTAAAATAACATTTCCAAAGAAATAAATCCTTCGAATCTGCCTGTTTAGTTTCTGTTGGAATGTGAAGGGTTAAATGCTCCTTTAGCGGTCTCTGCGAGTTACTGTGAAGACGGGAGAGCTTGTTGGTCCCTCTGTACATTCACAGAGGGCCCGCTGTCACTACCCGATCTGTCCCCCTGCCCGATCGGTACTGCGCATGTGCGAGATGGTCCGCCATTTTTATTTTTATTTTTTTTTTTTATCCAGGTAAAATCCCATTGAGATCAATGATCTCTTTTTCAAGGGAGACCTGCAGCAGTAGGTTCCACAAGAAGACATAAAAACATAAACAACAGAACAACAAAAGGACATCATACAGCAAAATGTACAGGGATTACAATTTACATATTTAACCACATGTACAGTACCAACAGCATCTGATTTTGTAGCATCCAACCGAGCTTAAAAACATGTAGCCTAGTGGTACTAGCTTGGTAATTTTCCATTCTTTTTGCAGACTGTTCCATGTTAGTAGGAGCTGCACATCTAAAAGCTTTCTTCCCTAAGACAGTCCTAGCACTTGGCACATTTAATAAAACCACAGCATGCGATCTCAGGCAATAAGTACTTTCAATTCGCAGAGAGATCAGGGAGCAGATATAAGATGGTAGTTTATCCAACATGGCTTTGTAAATGAAAAAAGTACCAGTGACTGAGCCTCCGTACAGTAAGTGATGGCATAACCGCCTTGGTATACATGGTACAGTGATGCGTAAGTGCTTTACAATTTGTCAAAAAATCTCATGTGCACTGTGATACGCAGCATCTAACTTGCTCAGGTAATTGGCAGGTGCATTCATATATAACAAATCACCATAATCCAGCACAGGTAAAAAGGTCACAGTGACTAGCCTTTTCCTGGCCTCAAGCGAGAAACAGGACTTATTTCTGTAAAAGAAACCATAGCCTAACCCTCAGCTTTTTAAGCAGGTTATTGACATGAAGTTTAAAAGTGAGACAGTCATCAAGCCAGATACCCAAGTATTTGTAACAGGTAACCACTTCAAGTTGTATTCCTTGCGTAGTTACAATATCCAAAGCAGTCTCTGGTGTATTTTTAGCTTTAGCTTTCGAAATGCATTACCTTGGTTTTATCCACATTTAAAAGAAGCTTAAGCTCAGAGAGCTGAGCCTGAATAATGTTAAAAACAGCCTGTCATTTAACAACAGCCTCGTTAATCGAGGGACCTGCACAGTACATAACGGTATCGTCCGCATAAAAATGTAAGGTTGCTCCTTCGACATTTTCACCTAAACTATTAATATATATAGAGAATAATAGCGGACCTAAAACTGAACCTTGTGGTACACCATTAGTGATGTTTAACCACTCAGAAGACAGCCCATCAAACTGAACACATTGGGACCTTTCAGAGAGGTAGTTTACAAACCACCCTACTGCATGGCTGGACATGCCTATACTGACCAGCCTTTGCTTCAAAATGTGATGATCGACAGTATCAAAAGCTTTGGATAGGTCAACAAATAGAGCTGCACAACTCTGCTTATTATCTAAAATACTCGTAATATCATTTACCACTTTCATTGTGGCAGTGATGGTGCTATGTTGCTTTCTGAAGCCTGACTGATGTTTAGACAGGATGTCATTGTTACATAAAAACACCTTTACCTGTTCACTCACTAGGCGTTCAAGAACCTTGGCCAGAACTGACAATTTAGAGATGGGTCTATAATTGTTTAATAAGGTGGCCTCCCCTCCTTTTAGTAGTGGCAGGACATAAGCTGACTTCCATACTTTTGGGATTTTGTTCGTGCTGAGAGAGAGGTTAAAAAGAGTAGTAAGAGGTGGAGCAATAAAATCTGCAGCTATCTTTAAAAAGAAAAGAAAAGAAAAGAAAAGTTCTACATTGTGCCGGGCCAGCCGGCTTTTTAGGATCTAGCTTGGTTAAGACTTCACGAACAACATCACCATATTGGACAGACAACTCCGGACGGCAACCCAAGATGGACACTTGAGACAGTGGCTTTTAGCAAAGCTAAAAAATAAAACGAGAGAGAGATGAGTTATTATTATTACAACGTGACTACTTCACTATTATTCTCTCTTTTTATTGGGTTCTTTTATTTGGGGTTAAGTACAGAATAAGTGAGAAATTAATTTAACTTCTGTTAGACAGCCATATGCCATACATTTTTGCATACATTCACAGTAAATATGTATTCAGTATGATAGCTGTCTAACAGAAGTTAAATACATTTCTCACTTATTCTGACAATGTACTTAACCCCAAATAAAAGAACCCAATAAAAAGAGTTGTTAAATAATAGTGAAGTCACGTTGTAGTAACAATAACTCATCTCTCTCTCGAGTTTTATTTGTGTGCTTTGCTAAAAGCCACTGTGTCAAGTGTCCATCTTGGGTTGCCGTCCGGAGTTGTCCAATATGGTGGACCATCTCGCACATGCGCAGTACCGATCGGGCAGGGGGACGGATCGGGTAGTGTCCCGAGCCTTGATGTCCCAAGTCGACCGTCTGCAGACTGGTGCACACTGGAGTACAACAAATTGCAGCCCTTCGCCAGGAGGTCATCAAACTGCCCCCCCCTGGAGAACTGGAGGAGGTTGGCCAAGAGTTTGCAAGGCTGGCCAACAGCCCAGTATTCTCCAGGTGTGTGGGGGCCATTGATGGCTGCCATGTCCGCATAAAGACCCCCCCAGGACCTCTGGGCCAGGATTACCTCAACAGAAAGCTCTTCCCATCCATACAATTGCAGGCAGTGTGTGATGGGAAGGGCTTCTTTCTCAACACCTTTGTTGGGTATCCTGGCTCAGTCCATGACACCAGAGTCCTGAAGAACAGCGCAATTTACAAACAGGCTCTGTATCCTCCCTCAGGTGACACCAAATATTCTTGTTAATACATCAAAATCCATCAATGACTTTTAGTATACTAAATATGTTCTCTCTCTTTTTAGGATTCTTCCTTTTGGGTGATGGTGGCTACCCCTGCATAGAAGGACCTGTGGCCCTCATCACCCCATATAGAGAACCACTGCAAGGGAGGGTGCAGAGCCGCTTCAACCAGCATCATGCCAGGGCTCGCTCCATCATAGAGCGGGCCTTTGGCAGGATGAAAAGCAGGTGGAGATCGCTGTTCTTCAAGGCTCTGGAGGTCCACCACACCTTTGTCCCCTCAGTCATCACCGCCTGTGCAGTGCTCCATAACATCTGCCTCACAGCGGGGGACATCCTGGAGCCTGAAGAGGATGTTGGGGACATTGGTGTGGTTCCACCACGTCTGGTGAGGGGGGATCGAGGCGGACATGGCCAGCGAGACCGACTGGCAGGGCTGCTCTCTGCTCCATGTGTGCAACCAGTTGAACTACAAGAACATGATTATTTGTAGGACTTGGGGACACGAAGGCCTTGGACACCACACTGTGTGAAAAGCTGTGTGCCTTCATTTGCGGTTTATTATTTTAACAAATAAAGGAACAATGTTTTGACAAACAAAGTGTATCTCAATGGAACAATAACAACGTTGCAAAAACTTAGAAACAAAATCATTTATTTACCAATTTCTCAAAATAAATCCAAAAATTTTTGTGTTAGCCTGATTGGCCTCAAAGCGTTCCTGCTCTCGTTGGGCCTCCTCTGCAGAAACTCTAATAGGGCCCCCCTACTTGCCCTCTTCTTCTTGGCAGGCGGGGGACTGAGAGAGGTGGATGGCTCTTCATCCAGTGTAGTGGTGCTGCTACTTGTGCCAGGCTGCCCAGGATCCTCCTCTTCCTACATTGCCTGGCCACAAGGAGCAGCCACAGCTCCACTGGATGAAGAGCCAATCCCACTGGGGGCCACGTCAGCCGAGTCCATCAGGACTGGAGGCTCCATGGAGGGCCGACTCCCAATGGCTTCATGCATCAGGGAAAACCACGACCATGTGGCTGCCGTGGCCTCCCCCGCATCTGTCCCCGTCCCTGTAGGGGGGGTTTTCAGCTCCTGAGGGAGAACAAGGAATGTATGAGTCAGATGAAGACACAATAGAAATAGCTGCATTGTATGCATCTAGAAATACAATATCTCACCTTATATTTTTTTTCAGGTTGTCCCACTTTTTGCCAGTTGGGTGGGAGTGAGCAACTCCTCCAACTCCATCTTCTGCAGAACCTCTCTGTGGAGTAAACCATTTCTTAAATTATAGCATCCAGGCATGCAAAGTCTGATTACTTCTGACAATATGCTTCATGCATAATAATTCCATGACACTCAGGTTCACTGTGGTTCATTCACAGTAGTGGTTACATTGATTATCATACCATGCACCAAAACAACATTGTCAAACAACTCATGTAGAACTGTAGCTCACCCCCAGGCCTTCTTGGCTGTGAACCTCTTTCCTGTAAACAGGTGCTCATTGTCAGTCCTCTGTTGAATGAGGGCTCTGGTTTGGGCCTCCGTCCCTGTTTAAGGAGAATTATGTTATACATACATCAGCAAAAGGAAACCTTAAGCCATTAACATTTCACTCACATAATGCTGCATATAAATGACAGCTTAATTATTGAATTGAGCCGATTTGAATGTATTGAATTATTTATTACAAATACATTGTGACTGCCAGCCAAATGAATGATGGTACCTTAGTTACGTCTGTATGTGGCAGGTAGCCTAGTTAAATGAAGAAACAAGTGGTTTCCAACCGAAATATGTCCGATAAATAACGAATGCTGCGTGTGTATACGCACGTTATGTAGCCTATCTCTTGCCTTTAGTTGGGCATTTCACATGAACATTGTTGAGAAAATATAAAGCGTTCAATAACAGAAATATATGAGTTGTGGGTTAAATACATGTGAACAGATGTTGCATTATCGTAACGGTATCGTTGTAGGCATACAAATAACATGAAGTAATAGGTACTTACACTTGTGTAGTTTTTCTGCCGCCATGTCTTTCAAATGTGCCAGCTGCATGCTGGAGGCAGGGCTTTTAAACCGAGTGAAATCAAGGATTCATGCCTCAGCTGTGATTGAATGGAAATGACAATAAATGAAACTGTAAAACGAAAAAAGCGATCATGAAAATGTTTCCAATAATGATTTTTGACCACTTTTGTTCAGATCACATATTTGTAACTAAATGATACATTAATTGAAACAAAACACGGTATAAACTGAGGAGTGAGTCCCGTGAGGTTCATGTATTTTCTTCACTCCGCTGGGGTATTGCTCTCATGTCAAGAAGCATCAGATCAGTGCATGCACTGCCTCGTCCAA